AAACCACATCATACCATACCACACCTGGATACCCCGCCACCGACAAAGCAGAAGGCTCCCAGAGGCTGCTCGAGCACCCACTCGCCGTCTTCCGTCCTCCGCCCTCCTCGTCCAGCTGAATTGCCAGGGACCGACTTGACTGCCGTCTGTTTCGATTTCGTGGCTGTTGCCCGCCGGTTTCCTGTTCATTCGGCTTTATTATTCAATTCCGCTCCGGGCACTGACGCTTTCCCAACTCGGCGGCACGGGCTGATTATCCCGCCTTTCCATTTACTTGCCTCGTTCGCCTTGCGCGCGACTACCATTGAGTTGGTAGCCGTTCCTTGCGCTCCCGCCCCTCTCTGAGATGGAGCACATTCATGGCGTCGACGTGAGCTGGATGACCCACGGGAATCCAAAAGGTTAGTAATTTTGTCTCCTTCGTGCTCCCGGGCCGACAGGCAGCTGCGCCTGATGCTTGCAGCTCCGAGCCGAGCGACGTCCGAAACAAGCATTCTAATACGTACATGATTCTCTTTGCCAGACAAGACAACCAAAGTGACGACGCGCCCGAGGTCACTGTCGCAGCTGAGCCGCGGTTCTTTGGCCCAGAGTCCGCCCCTGTCTTCACCACTTACTCCTCCAGCAACTCCCAATGGCCCTCAGATAGTGCAATCCGCCGCCGCCACAATACCCCCGAGCCCGAGGCAAGCGATCGCAGTGCGCCCACCATTGTCAAGGCCCAACACGGACGAGAAGGGGACGCTGCTTTCGTCGTCCGCTCCTGGCCCGAGCCCCGAGCCCGTCACCTCCCCTCCAATCCCCCAGAGGAGGGGTTCTTGGTTTTCCAACATCTCGTCCAAGTTCTCCTCGGGCATAGGAAACAGCGGTCAGAGCCCTCCGCAGGCCAACACGGCGTCGCCCAAACCCGCCGAATTCTCAGTACCAAAGTCAAACCCGGTCAAGAACGCCGTCTTGCAGCATGCTTCCAAGTACGAGGGTGAGGGGCCGTACACCCCGGCACCGCCCCGATCCACCCAGGCCGGAATCATGCACGTCTTTCGGAGACTATCCTCGTCCAACGGAACACTGAGTCCCGGCGTAAAACCCCACAATCACGGGCTGGTCGAGCGACGGGTCCTGAATGTGGATCGCAACCGAGAGCGCTGCGACATTTCGGGCCTGCAGCAGGCCAAACTCCGGAGAGTGGCCTTTTGCGTCGACGTGGAGATTGCGCCGATGCCCAAGTACATGGATGAGTTTGGTGAGAGGAAACCGGCCGCCAAGGCTGTCGCCAATCCCGATAAGGACCAAAAGCGCAAGATTAAGGAGAAGGGCGAGGGCGAAGCACTCAAGAATCCCAGCGTAGTGGTAGCCCAGAAAGAGGAGAACGGCGAGGTCGCTGCCACGGGTGAGGAGCTTCCCAAGGAGCCCACTGTCGAGAGCACCGACGGCCCTAACAGTATCAAAGAACCAGATTTGGTTCCAGAATCAAACGAGACGCCCGGCTCCGAAGGCTTGGCTGACAAGTCGACTTCTGCTGAGGCGAAGAAAAAGGAGAAGAAAAAGAAGAGCGAAGAAGAGAGGAAGGCAAGAAAGGAGAGGAAAAGGAAGCTTGCCGAAGCGAACGGCACCATTCCCATGGAAATTCACGTGGACAGCGATTCGTCGTCAAGCGGTTCCATCCCACGCCCGTCGACGCCGAAAACGCAGGCTGTGCCAACAACCAACCCAGTTAGAATCTATCGCCGGTGTTGCCAGCTCAGAGAAACGCCGATACTCAAAAAGATCACAGAGCAGCTTTTGGACCCGGCGAATTCGTCTGTTGAGCCCGGCATGGTCGAAAAGCTCGACCTTACCGGGTATTGGATGCAATTGGGTGACCTGGTGACGCTAGGCGACTATCTGGCTGTGGTTCCTGTGAGAGAAGTCATTCTGGAGAACTGCGGCCTGACAGACGAGGGTCTTCGTGTCATCCTGGCAGGCCTCTTGGCCGCCAGGAAAGTCTCGGCCAAGAGGCGGAAACCTCCGACCGAGCCTGACGGGCTGGCGCCGCAAGGCGGAGTGGTAGAGCGGCTCGTGCTGAAAAACAACAAGGCCGGCCCCGAAGGGTGGAAGCACATTTGCCTGTTCCTCTATCTATGTCGGACGCTCAAGTGTCTGGATCTATCAGGCATACCACTGCCCCGGTCTGCCGCCCCGGCCCCCGGAGCCGCAAGCCACGTGAATGGAAACGCATACCGGACACGCCCGGACCAAGATGTTTGCCGCCTCTTGGCCAGGTCCCTCGCAGAACGACTTGGGGGTTCCACGCTGGGACTGCTGCACTTGGGCCAGGCGGGTTTCAGCGCAGAACAGCTGGGTATTGTCATTGACGGCGTCATAAAATGCGGCGTACGGAGACTGAGCCTCGCCCACAACGATATCGATGACGAGGGCATAAAACACGTTGCCAAATTCATAAACAGTGGTCAATGTGAAGGGCTGGATCTGGGCGGCAATGACATGAGAGATCGGCTTGGCATTATTGCCGATGCTTTACAGACCAAGAACTGCCCCTTGTGGGCGCTGAGTCTGGCAGACTGCAACCTCAAGCCGTGGTCCTTGTGCAAGCTGATGTCGATGCTCGTCAAGCTTCCGCACTTCAAGTTCATCGACCTTTCGCACAACCACGAACTCTTCAACTCGAACCCCAGCGCAGTGTCCCTGCTCAGAAGGTCAGTCAAATATAGATCATTTGCTGCCTGGCACTTTACCTTGCTGACTTGATGGCTCTAGATATCTCCCCAAGATGGCTTGCCTGAAACGCATTCATCTCGCCGACTGTGCCATGACTCCCGAGCAAGTCATTTCTCTGACAGAGATCATTCCCGAGGTCCCTGGCCTTGCCCACATCAGCTTCCTGGAAAACCCGGCACTGGTGCAGCTGACGACTAATGCAAACACGGACGAAATCAAAGAAGAAGCATTCGCACTCTTCGCGTCGTTCTTGGCGGCTGCACGAGTTTCTAAAAGCCTCGTGGCCATCGACATCGAGGTGCCCAGCGAGCAATCAAGTGATCTCATCAAGGCCATGGCCAAACACGTGGTCGCCCACTGCCTGCGCAACATGGAGCGGCTTCCCGTGGGGGATCTTGCCGCCGTTGCTTCAGCTACAGAAGCGCAGGTGCATGAGCCCGAGTACCCAGACGTGCTGCAGCGCCTCATTGGCCATGACGTCATGCAGCCGGTTGACTTGGACGCCGACGTTGATGTCGCGCCTGACGAAGATTATGTTATTGGCGGTACCGGCGTCGTCAAGGCGCTGGCGTGCTGTTTGAAGAACCGTGGCGACGAGTCGCGGAGGCAGTCGGGAGAATTCATCCGGGACTTTGAGAACGGTATACCGGAGCCGAGACCCGACAGGCTGCCAACCGGAAAGGCGAAGGAGACGTCAAAGCACCTGCTATTCAGCGCCAGGAAGATCAGGCATCGCTTACAGCCGGCAATCAGCAAGGCTAAGGCGGCCATGGTCGATGACCAACATACGTACCGTAAGTCATGTTTGTTCCCAGCCCCGTCTCTTGATTGGCCTCTTCACTAACGGGATTTGTCATGCAGATCGTCTAATGTTCCTTGATAACACGCTCAAGGGCATTATCAAGCGGTTCGAGGACGAGTTCCCGGACACACGAGAGTCCATTGATAGTGCTGTCAGCCTGTCGCCTGCAGAGGACGCTGACTACGACGCAAACGCCCCAACACCGCCCTGGAGCGCCGGACTGTCGTCTTCCGACCTACAGGCTGGCGCCATCTCGGACAACGAAGACGACGCAACCACAGACGGTTTCGCAATACGGGCGCCGCTGGTGCGGTCCAACTCTGCCATTAGCCTCACGTCCAAGGCGCTCGCCAACGAGGAGGGCCGCGTTCTGCGCGCTGGCCACCAGTTCCGAGTCGGCATCGTCAAGCCTGAGCACTACGCCTTGCTAACAGGCGTCGAGATGGTTGGCGCCGACCCAAAACATGTCCGTATGCTTCACGAGCTTTTGGACGATCTCGGCGACGCCAATGGCAGCTACATGGCCGCCGATGTCAAAGAAAAGGGCGTCGTACGCGTCTTCCAGGAGAACAGGGAGGACCTTCTCCAGAAACTTCGCGCCTTGGACCCCGTCTATTGGGACAGCTTCGTCGAAAGTCAGGAAATGGCACGAGCCAATGTCCAGGTTTCAGGGGCACGGAGCCCCGACGTTCTTGCGAACGTGCCTTCTGATGCCGCCAGGGGGGATATGGCCGCGTCTGAAGAAGCTTTGGTTGATGAATAGTGGCCGTGTGGCAAGATATCCCACAGCCAGCAGCCAGATTTAGTTACCAGTGCTTGCCAGCTCGTTTTGTAAGACCCAAGGGACCTCACAAGGAGGAGGCTCGGCGAGTTTTGTCTCATTTGGTTGTGTCAGTGTCAGGGTGTAGCCTTTGTCTTTTTTTTTTTCCTTGGTATTTATTTTGTGCGGGCTTTTTTTGGTTTACAAATACTAGTACCCCAACCGCGTTTTTTTTTTGGGGGGGGGGGGGGGGGGTTTCACTTTGCTGGCCAATGCAATGGCGGTGGCCCTAGCGGTCTTGCCTGAAAACTTGTTTGGGGTTTTATTCTGTGGGGGGGATATCATCTATCGAATACCAAAGGAGGATTCAAGTCCGAGGCTAGGCGTTTTCGAGGAGGGGGGATGGAGGGAGGCAAAGGGATGCAATATGCCCGGAGCTTTTTTTATAAACAAGAAAAAAAAACGAAATGAATCCAAGTCTATGACATAAATCACGATGAAATCTATAATGTTGATTATAAGTGATGTTAGTGTCAGTGGTGATTGCTAACGGCCTGATGGGACTCGGGAGGAAGCTTAACATGCAAAACATGAGAAGAAAAAGAAAGAAAAAAAAAAGGAATTGGAAAAGGAAATGGGAGAAGGTAGTGTGGACAAAGCCGCAAAATAAAAATAAAAATAAAAAAGACAAAAGACAAAACATAAAAACATATTAATGTACGACACCTACAGGATTTGAACCTGCGCCTCCGAGGAGACTCCCTAGGCTGCTTCTTCCTATTAATTCCCTGTATGAAGGGGCATGGTTTGATAGCAGGGGAGCGCGTTAGGCCACTTCGCTAAAGTTTCTTTGTCTTTGTGTTGCATGATTGTTTGCTTGTTGACCTAGTACACGTATCCATCCATGTCGAGACGAGATTGAGATTGAGATGGGTCCTTGTGGGGTGCAGCGGACCGAGGATGTTGAGGATGAAAGTGGAGGTATTGACTGGATGACTCCAGTGCTGCTCCGTGAATCAGTCATGGTGGGTGTATGTTTGTGTGTGTGTTTGTGTTCTTGCTGCTCCGTATTAGTGGAGAAAAGAAAAGGGGCAAGTTCGCCGAGAAACAAACAAACCCAACTCGGCCCCCCTTTCTCACGCAAACTCGTTGGATACCGTTTCAAAACCGCTCACAATCCAGCTCTAATACCATGCTGTAGACTTGTCACTGAGCACGAAAGGGTCAGATAATTTTGACAACTAAACTATCTCTGGATCAATACCTCACTAAGCAGCAGCTCATTAGCACTTCAAACCGCGATCAATTAGACTATCTCGTATCCGTTTCTCCCCTCGTTTCCGCCGCGGTGTGCCGTAAAAACACGATATGCTATGCTATGGTATGCTGCTGCTCATTAAGCGCCTGCCTACCTGGTGGCCTGCTCCTCCATCCCTTACCCTGTCTGGTGCAATGGAACCCAGTTCTCGAACGTGTCTCATTTGGACAAATATGTTTCATGCCCCGCCCAGCGCCAGTCTAGATGCAGATTATTCTGGTGTTTGAGATCGTCATAGTGCGCCGTCTTTCATAGAGTTCATGCGGTCTTGTGTAAGACAAGAATGACAAAAGAAAACATGCAAGGTTCGTACGGTACAATGGAGAGTGACAAAAGAAAAGACATGTCCGGGATATCGGTAGAACGACGGTGAGAATACACACGTTCCACAAGAAACTTGCCCGTTCTCAGATAGCGCTGGTCGTGACCAGCCGCGGTAGATAGCATAAGAGATTTAGTGCTTCTTGTATTTCTGCACACATTGTTAGCATTGTAGTCTCGCACTGGTCCAAGATGGTTGCAACTCACAGCATCCATTCGCCTCCTGTTCGCGGGATCGAGCGAGTTCGTCGCCCCGAGAAGAGTCTGCCCGATGGCCTTGGTAGCTCCGATGGCGGGGCGGAATATGATGGTTGGGGCCCGCTTAAGCACCGCCTTCGCCGCCCCTTGAGCGCTCTGGCTTTCCATTACCTCCGCGGGCACCGCAATGATGGCATCCCTCGCCATCGAGAGATCCCGGGCCAAGCTGGCATACGCACCCCTCATGCCCTGGATGATACCCAAGGGCTGATCCGCATAGAGGCTAATCTGCTTCTTCTCCTCTGGAATCTCGTCCTCCCATTCGCCTACCGCCGCAGCAGCTGACGTTCCCTCTCCGTGGGGATTCGAAGTGAGGAGTCCCTCGGCTCCCTGCAGAGCATACTGGGTCCCGATCGCGAGCTTGGCACCGAGCTTGACGACCTCGGTGCCTGTGGTCTTGGCAAACGCCGCTGCTCCCTTTCCGATGCTGCGCACGATGCGGCCATCTTTGCGGTACTCCCGGATAGGAATCTCGATCAATTCTCTGAATCCACTGCTGGCATTCACAACCGAGCGTACCGGGGCCAACCCAGCCAGGATTCCAGGCAGCTGCGTCCTCTTCACGTTGTCCGTCCAGAGGTCGTTCAGCTGGATACCCAGGCGGTCGAACCCTGACACACCATATAGAATGACGTGTCGCAGGGTCATGCGAGCATCCTCGAGGATCAAGAAGTTCATGAACTCGGTGGTGTGGCCCGAACGCAAGCCAGCGTAGTCGACTCGCTTCGGCTTGAAATCAAGCTTGATGGGGATGTCGTTGATCTCGGCGCGTTGGATGAAGGGGATGTCGGTTGGGGAGGCGTGGATCGGAGCCGAGTCGTCCTTGAACTCAAAAAACCTAGTGACGAAATCAAGCGCATCTTGGTCGACATGTAGTCTCAGCGGCAAGACTGTAACCTTGAGCACCATTTCAGAGGCCGGCATGGACGGCACGGGCCGGGTGGTGAGAAGCTCAAGGTGGACCATGCTCGCGCCCAGCTCCCGCTCGCCAGCGTCGTGGTCATACATGGCAAACTTCTTCCACGTCGATGTCGGGACGTGGTCAAAAACGTCGATGTCGTTGATGCGGATGTCGATGGAATTCAGAGTCTCGCTCGAGTCGGGCGGGAAGGTGACCAGGTCCACGTTCACGCCCTTGAGCTCGAACGTGATCTTGTGGCGCTTGCTCCTGTTCAGCTTCAGGTTCTTGGACTTTGATCGATGCTGCCCGCCGGGCCGGGCCGTGGTGGCGGTGACGGCCGTGGTGGCAATTGACTCCGTGTCCGTGGCGTTGTCTTGCAGGTCCTGGTTGATGGCCTGCGCCAGCTCCCTAGGGTCGCGGTTGGCTGAGATGCCGATGTAGATAGAATTGAACAGGAAATCGCCAATAACGGTATCTCCATCCTCAACCTCTTTCTCGTAGACACCCCGGCGGTCGGTCCGAGCGCGCCGCTCGTACGCCTTTGCTTCAACATCCTGGACGGCTTTGGTAATGACCTCTCGAGTGCGTGCCCAGTCGTAGCCGTCAAACAAGTGCCAGATGACGTGCACGTCGCGGACGCAAAGCTTTAAGGGGCTCTGCTGGACCTTGACATCGTTAGACTGGTCATATGTGTTCTTCTTCGAGTTCCAGCGGTGAGCTGTGCCCCGGACTACAGATGCGGAGCCGAAGAAGTTGTCGTCGACGCGAAGGTCATCGCTGCCGCTGCTAGCTCCGAAGCTCGCAGTGCTGAGTAGGATGCCATCGCTGGTTTCCTCTACAGTCGTGCGCTCCCCCAACATGGAAGAAGAGGTGGCATTGAACAGCTCCTCCTGGACGGCGCCTTCGTCGTAGTACTGAGAGTCTAGTTGAAGTGGGCTGTCGTGGTCTTCATATTCGTCGTATTCGCTTCCAAAGTCGCCAAGCTCCTGGGCCATGGCAAAATCATTGTCAAAATCGTAGTCGCCCTCGGCCTTGCCGAATGCATCTGCGGTGATGGATGCCAAGAGGTCTTCAACGGGAACGACCGACGTCCTGTATTTGATTTCTTTGCTTGGCGGGGTTGGCGGCTTAAGGCCATTGCCGAGAGCGATGAGCGTCTGGGTCGAGTCGGCGCAAGTCTCGAGAACCAAGAGATCATCCCTGACTTCAATCTCCACATGGGCTTCGTCCTCGGCATCTTTGACAATCTTCACCGTCGCTTTGGCAGAGGAGATCTGGCAAATATTGACGTATCCCATACCGCACAGCTCCCTGACTTGGGGGGATGGCGTGACGACCGACTGCCGTGTCGAGGCGAAGGGCGGCTCGTCCGAGTCCAAGATCGAGACATCGTCAATCAAGAGAACCGAGGCCTTCTTTAAGGAAGCAGCCGCGTGAACCGTGTTGTTCTTCCCGGGAGTCGCCTCGACACGCGCATCCGTAAGCACGAGAGCCAGTTTGGAAGGGAGGTGATGTGGGTTAAGGCCGACAATACAGTCGCGAAAAGCAACATCAACCTTGATGGGTTTCGCGGCTTTGGCCTGTTCTGCAGGGTTTGCTGAGCTTGAAGGTGCTCCTTTAATCGCCGAATGTGCCTGATCTCCTAGGTTCGCGACCGAGGCGGCGAGCCCGGCTTCAAAGTCCTGGGGCGTGGCATCTTCTGACAGTCCCAACACATCCATAATGGTGGGGACACGGTACTCGACGCTCAGTCCCATGAGCTTGACCTTGAGAACCGGCTCGATGTCGTCAATCATCCTCATCATCAGAACCGGCGGCTTCTGCGTGATGCCGGATGCTGCCGTGCTCGAGGTACCCACAAGCTCTTCTATCTGGTTCCGGTTGACAGAGATTGAGCCGACGGCGACAGCTATCAGCGAGGGCACCGAGATATTCGCCAGGTCGACGTCTCTGAGGGATGCCTGGATAGCGCCAAACCGACCCCCAATCTCAATTTCGCATTCAATATGCTTGACTTGGCCGAGCGTCAAAAGACCTGGCCGGTCGTCTTCGGGCAGGTATTTGGCAACCGTTCCGAGCTTGGCAAGGTCTTCGACAAGGCCTGGGAGGCAGGCCAGTTGCTGTAGCCTACCCGCATCAACTCTGACCCTGTTGACAGTCAGGGAAAGAACCGGGCCCTTTTTCCGTTGTCTGAGAAGCGTGTCCACCATAATTTCGTCCTCGTTCTCGTCGAACTTGACCTTCGAGGGCGTAATAAGCTCCAGAAGTCTCTCCAAGTCCTTCGTTCGAGGAAGCAAGATGTATTCGAGCCTCGTATCTGCAATCTCTACAACAACTGGGACTTCGGCTCGGGAATTTCTCAGATACGGACCGGCCAACCGCACCCTGCTGAAATGGATGCCGATTCCCTCCTCTCTACCGACCAGTTTGAGGGCGCTTGTATTCAATACGACGCTGCATTCTTTGCCGACAACATCCACACGGAGGCCGTTGATGCGCAAGTCGGTCTTGTTCTCCTTGCTCGCTGTGCGGTCATCCGGGTTGATGGGGGCTTCGAATCGAACGCCGCGCGGTTTCTGGGCCGCCTTCGTTGGATTCTTGTTCCCCTTTGGCGCATTTGACGTAATTGAGGAGCCCATGTTAAGGAAGCTGCTCAGCCCGCCGAACCAGCTGAATGTTTCATCCAGTCTCTGTAGGTCAAGCTTAACATGGAGTGGCAGCGTGTTGATCTCAGCTCTCGAGAAATCAGACGAGCTGGTGACCTTGACAGATATGTCCTGCCCAGCCGTGGGGAACGTGTTTGCCACCGACTCATACATCTGAACTTGACGGTCGAACGAAATGATATCATCGTTTGCATAGCCAAACCGGAACTTCTCGATGCTGATGCTCGCCTCGGTCTGCGGACCGGATTTGGAAACGGACCCTCTGAGATCGGTTATGCTGGCCTTGAGCAGGATGTCCGAGTCGAACCCGACAGTGCGATTTTCGAATAGCCTTTGGGGCGTATCTGCCACACCCGCGATCTTCTCGAGGAAATTTAAAGACAGT